TCTGTGAAGGCAGCTCTCTTCACAAAATTCCCTTTGTGAAGGCAGCTTTCTTTACAAAATACCTTTCGTGAAGACAGCTAACTCTTCACAAAATCCCTTTTGTGAAGGCAGCTCTCTTCACCAAGACCCCTTTTTGAGGGCAGCTCTCTTCACAAAATCCCTTTTGTCGAGGCAGCTCTCTTCACAAAATCCCTTTTGTGAAGGCAGCCCTCTTCACAAAATCCCTTTTGTGAAGGCAGCTCTCTTCACACAATCCCTTTTGTGAAGGCAGCTCCCTTTACACAACCCCTTCTGCGCAGGCAGCTCTCTCAACAAAACCCCTTTGTGAAGGCAGCTTTCTTTACAAAATCTCTTTTGTGAAGGCAGCTCTCTTCACAAAACCCCTTTTCGTGAAGGCGGCTCTCTTCACAAAACCCCTTTTGTGAAGGCAACTCCCTTCACAAAATCCCTGTTGTCAAGGCAGCTCTCTTCACAAAGTCCCTGTTGTCAAGGCAGCTCCCTTCACAAAATCCCTTCCATGAAGGCAGCTCTCTTCACAAAATCCCCTTTGTGAAGGCAGCTTTCTTTACAAAATACCTTTCGTGAAGACAGCTAACTCTTCACAAAATCCCTTTTGTGAAGGGAGCTCTCTTCACCAAGACCCCTTTTTGAGGGCAGCTCTCTTCACAAAATCCCTTTTTGCGGAGGCAGCTCCCTTCACAAAATCCCTTTTGTGAAGGCAACTCCCTTCACAAAACCCCTTTTCGTGAAGGCAGCCTTCTTCACAAAATCCCTTTTGTGAAGGCAGCTCTCTTCACAAAATCCATGTTGTCAAGGCACCTCTCTTCACAAAATCCCTGTTGTCAAGGCAGCTCCCTTTACAAAACCCCTTCTGTGAAGGCAGCTCTCTTCACAAAATCCCCTTTGTGAAGGCAGCTTTCTTTACAAAATACCTTTTGTGAAGACAGCTCTCTTCACAAAATCCCTTTTGTGAAGTCAGCTTGCTTCACAAAATCCCTTTTGTGAAAGCAGCCCTCTTCACAAAATCCCTTTTGTGAAGGCGGCCCTCTTCACAAAATCCCTTTTGTGAAGGCAGCTCGCTTCACAAAATCCCTTTTGTGGAGGCAGCTCTCTTCAAAGAATCCCTTTTGTAAAGGCACCTCCAATTCTTTTGTGAAGGCAGCTCTCTTCACACAATCCCTTTTGTGAAGGCAGTTCCCTTCACAAAATCTTGTGAAGGCAGTTCTCTTCACAAAATCCCTTTGTGAAGGCATCTCCCTTCACCAAAACCCTTTTTTCAGGGCAGCTCTCTTCACAAAATCCCTTTTGTGAAGGCAGCCCCCTCCACAAAATCCCTTTTGTGAGTTCACAAAATCCCTTTTTGCGAGGCAGCTCTCTTCACAAAATCCCTTTTGTGAAGGCAGCTACCTTCACAAAATCCCTTTTGTGAAGGCAGCTTCTCTTCACAAAATCTCTTTTGTTATTCACAAAATCCCTTTTGTGCAGCGCTCCCGTCACAAAACCCCTTTTGTGAAGGCAGCTCTCTTCACAAAATCCCTTTTGTGAAGGTAGCTCTCTTCACAAAACCCCTTTGTGAAGGCGGCTCCCTTCACAAATCCCTTTGTGAAGGCAGCTCTCTTCACAAAATCCCTGTTGTCAAGGCAGCTCTCTTCACAAAACCCCTGTTGTCAAGGCAGCTCCCTTTACAAAACCCCTTCTGTGAAGGCAGCTCTCTTCACAAAATCCCCTTTGTGAAGGCAGCTTTCTTTACAAAATACCTTTTGTGAAGACAGCTCTCTTCACAAAATCCCTTCTGTGAAGGCAGCTCGCTTCACAAAATCCCTTTTGTGAAGGCAGCCCTCTTCACAAAATCCCTTTTGTGAAGGCAGCTCGCTTCACAAAAACCCTTTTGGGGAGGCAGCTCTCTTCACAAAATCTTTTTTGTGAAGGCAGCTCCCTTCACAAAACTCCTTTTCGTGAAGGCAGCTCTCTTCACAAAATCCCTTTTGTGAAGGCAGCTCCCTTCACAAAATCTCGTGAAGGCAGCTTCTCTTCACAGAATCTCTTTTGTGAAGGCATCTCCCTTCACCAAAACCCTTTTTTGAGGGCAGCTCGCTTCACAAAATCCCTTTTGTGAAGGCAGCTCCCTCCACAAAATCCCTTTTGTGAGTTCACAAAATCCCCTTTGTGAAGGCAGCTCTCTTCACAAAATCCCTTTTGTGAAGGCAGCTCTCTTCACAAAACCCCTTTTGTGAAGTCAGCTCCCTTCACAAAATCCCTTTCGTGAAGGCAGCTCCCTTCACAAAATCCCTTTTGTGAAGGCAGCTCTCTTCACAAAATCCATTTTGTGAAAGCAGCTCTCTTCACAAAATCCCCGTTGCCAAGGCAGCTCCCTTTACAAAACCCCTTCTGTGAAGGCAGCTCTCTTCACAAAATCCCTTTTGTGAAGGCAGCTTTCTTTACAAAATACCTTTTGTGAAGACAGCTCTCTTCACAAAATCACTTTTGTGAAGCCAGCTCGCTTCACAAAATCCCTTTTGTGAAGGCAGCTCTCTTCACAAAAATCCCTTTTGTGAGGCAGGTCTCTTCACAAAGTCCCTTTTGTGAAGGCATCCCTTCACCAAAAGCCCTTTTTTGAGGGCAGCTCTCTTCACAGAATCCCTTTTTGTGAAGGCAGCTCCCTTCACAAAATCCCTTTTGTGAAGGCAGCTCCCTTCACCAAAACCCTTTTTTGAGGGCAGCTCTCTTCACAAAATCCCTTTTTGCGGAGGCAGCTCCCTTCACAAATTCCCTTTCGTGAAAGGCAGCTCTCTTCACAGAACCCCTTTCGTGAAGGCAGCTCTCTTTACAAAATCCCTTTTGTGAAGGCAGCTCCCTTCACAAAATCCTCTTTGTGAAGGCAGCTCTCTTCACAAAACCCTCTTTGTGAAGGCAGCTCCCTTCACAAAACCCCTTTCGTGAAGGCAGCTCTCTTCACAGAATCTCTTTTGTGAAGGCAGATCTCTTCACAAAACACCTTTTGTGAAGGCAGCTCTCTTCACAAAATCCCTGTTGTCAAGGCAGCTCTCTTCACAAAATCCCTGTTGTGAAGGCAGCTCCCTTTACAAAACCCCAAAGGCAGCGCTCTTTTCACAAAATCCCTTTTGTCAAGGCAGCTCCCTTTACAAAACCCCTTCTGTCAAGGCAGCTCTCTTCACAAATTCCCTGTTGTCAAGGCAGCTCCTTTCAACAAAATCCCTTTTGTGAGGCAGCTCTCTTCACAAAATCCCTTTTGTGAAGGCATCCCTTCACCAAAACCCTTTTTTGAGGGCAGCTCGCTTCACAAAATCCCTTTTGTGAAGGCAGCTCTCTTCACAAAATCCCTTTTTGCGAGGCAGCTCCCTTCACAAAATCCCTTTTGTGAAGGCAGCTCCCTTCACAAAATCCCTTTTGTGAAGGCAGCTCTCTTCACAAAATCCCTTTTGTCAAGACAGCTCGCTTCACAAAATCCCTTTTGTGAAGACAGCTCTTTTTCACAAAATCCCTCTTGTGAGGCAGCTCGCTTCACAAAATCCCTTTTGTGAAGGCAGCTCTCTTCCTTTTGTGAAGGCAGCTCCCTTCACAAAATCCCTTCTGTGAAAGCAGCTCTCTTCACAAAATCCCTATTCAAATCCCTTTGGTGAAGGCAGCTCCTTTCACAAAATCCCTTTTGTGAAGGCAGCTCTCTTCACAAAATCCGTTTCGTGAAGGCAGCTTCTCTTCACAGAATCTCTTGCGTGAAGGCAGCTCTCTTCACAAAATACCTTTTGTGAAGGCAGCTCCCTTCACAACATCACTTTTGTGAAGGCAGCTCTCTTCACAAAATCCCTTTTGTGAAGGCAGCTCTCTTCACAAAATCCCTTTTGTGAAGGCAGCTCTCTTCACAAAATCCGTTTTGTGAAGGCAGCTCGCTTCACAAAATCCCTCTCTTCACAAAATCCCTTTTTGCGGAGGCAGCTATCTTCACAAAATCCCTTCTGTCAAGGCAGCTCTCTTCACAAAATCCCTTTTGTGAAGGCAGCTCCTTTCACAAAATCCCTTTCGTGAAGGCAGCTCCTTTCACAAAATCCCTTTCGTGAAGGCAGCTTCTCTTCACAGAATCTCTTGCGTGAAGGCAGCTCTCTTCACAAAATACCTTTTGTGAAGGCAGCTCCCTTCACAACATCACTTTTGTGAAGGCAGCTCCCTCCACAAAATCCCTCTTGTGAAGGCAGCTCGCTTCAGGTCCTTTCACCGACCCATTCCTGTCAGGTACAATGGAAGTGTTTTTGCACGTAAGATGCATTCCACAACAGAATTCGCAATGACAGTTCTGAGCAAGTGTGTGGAGTTGCCAATGTGCCAGTACGTACGTTTTTTTTTGAATTTAGGCATGCATGTGCGCAAGTATGTCGTGTACGTATGTCCACTATGATCATGTGTGCGCATGCTGCATAGATGCATTGCATTGGTATGTATGTTTGTATGTACATGCGTACGTAGGTGCATGTAACGTTAATGTAGGTTTATGTACTGACTGTATGGGTATATGCACAAATATGTCCACATATGTAAGCATATGTAGATAATTGTAGATATATGTGTGTGTAGAAAACCACTGCTAGGTTTCAAGAAAAAGCCAAGGTTTCGGAGAAACAACGAAACAAACATGATTTCCAAGATTGCAAAGGAGGTAGGGTCGGAAAAGTAGTGGAAAGGGAAGAATTAAACACGTGGCCAAAAGCAAACACAGCATGCTCTTACACCATTTTCATGGAATAAAAACGACGTATATCAAAATGAGATGCTTTTTGTACTCTGTGATGTAGCATGCATGCCTTTAGTTGCAGATTTGGGTATAGTGCACCTATGTAAGACTAATCTCATATGGTGTAGACACAATAATATCACATAATACCTAGAATAGAGCTAGTGTTTTCTTGCAGCGCGCTCCATCCTGATTTGCCTGTATAGGTTAGCAAATGCTCCCCGCAACGCAACCGCACACTACACACCAGCAACGCCTGCGCCCGGTGGGTCTTCTGGGTCTGCAGAAGCTTGGGTTTGCGCCAAGCCTCGTGCTTTTGCTGCGCAACTAAAGTCAAAAGAGCAATCAGAAGTCAACCCTGACATTCAACATATTAAGACCGTGAGAGTTCCACCTTGCAATGCCTTGGCCTCCAATCTGAAGTCTAAGTGGCACACGCGCAGAACTGGCAGACCTGGCTATAAGACCAAACGATCCTACAGGTATTGTTTGAATGTTTCCTTGAAAACAAAAAGCAATGAAGCAGGACTTCGTTTTCAGCGCGCGGAGATGTTGAGAAAAGATAAGACAAGCAAGAACAACATGGAACAACCTTACAGTAATGGCAACAGCAACACCAGCAACACCGCCGCCACCAATTTCAACCTGAACACCGCTGCCACCCACAATGCCAACAGCCCGGTCAGTTTAAGGCCAGCAGCACTAGCACCAGAAGCATCAGCAGCAGTTGGTTGTAGTTTGTCGTTGTGGTGGTTGTAATCATCTTCAAACGATCCACTAACTAATTGTGCCATGGAGTTCGGGCATTTAGGAAACCCGCCTTGCGTTTCCAACACTTGGAAGGTCAAATCATTGCAGAGCACGCGGCGCTGGACTTGCCTACTTCATCACTATGTGCAGAGATTGCGAGCCACATGTCTGAGCCAGCTTGTTTTAGGCGCACACTCGTCACACTGCACGTGCATGGTGATTCACCGGTTTGACGGTCTCCCGATGTTTGTCAGCAGATGCTACGAATGTTTGGGCGTGATGCATTTGCATCCCTTTAAATCAAATGGCTTTCGCCTGCGCTGTACTCTTAGCTCGGAGGTAGCCGCGTTGTTGGAAGAAAAAGATACACTTGCATCCCATCATGCTCCAACAGTGGACGCTGACATAAGCTTGCACGTGTTGCGGCCCCCATATATGTGGTAGCATGAGCCTGGCATGAAACGCGCACATGAGCAGTCATTTTAGGCGCCAAACAAGGAGGTGCAAATCGTGTTTTGGCCGTATGGGTCATGGATGGGTCAAGGGTCATGGGCTCATATCACTTTTCTCCATGCGCCAATTCTTGCAACTGAATCTAATTCCTAAAGCTTGAATGAACAGCAGGTGGCCTGCCAGTGTAGTATTATTATCATGATGTACTGGCGCATTTGCAGAGTTGCAGCAATTGCAGCAGCAGTAATGGGTCGACTGCCAAACTATGGCAAAAACTATCACCTCTTCGTCACTATAGCACTAGCAGTACTTCGAGGACAATCAAATGCAAAAAAATGGCGAGCACGACAGAACTTGGGAAGATTCACCGCATCTAAAGCAAGGCCTTGAAGACGAACTTGTCGGATCTGAACCACATTCGAGCACAAGTTTCTTGAACTGACTCACCTCCGCCAACCATGAGAGCTGTCGTGCCATTTCGTGCCACACAGAAACAGTATGAAACAGTTAAAGAAACAACGCAAATCCCCATGTCTGCGTGGATGTGACAATTGCAGGCAACACAATTCATCTCGCGCCCTGCACAATCTCCTTCACCAAGTCTGTGAGTTACAACACCACACAAAATGCAAGAAAACACGCACTCGAATTTGAGCGTCCACGGTAGTTTCTGCGCTAGCGGCTCATTCCGCAGGCAGCATCCAACCAGGGCATGAAACGCAAAAGGAAGCCATGTCGCGTTTTCTCGCTGGGACATCCCTTCGATTCACCATCTTCTTATGCCGCGGCCTTTGACCATCTACCCGGTGCCCTTGACGTGTGGGAAAGAAGTCGAACCCATCAGTCGTCAGTGCGGGAAAGTGGAAAGCACAGCTCGCGCATGACACAGGCGCGGTAGATATGGAGCGATGCTAAGGATGTGGCAAGGAGGTGGATTTGTTTTCGCATATTTTTTTTCGCTTCGCTGCATGTTCAGTCTAACTATGAAGGTCCTACGAGACGTCATTTCATGCATGACAAAAATATTCGTTGCTGGGATTGATTTCATTTGGTCCTGTCAAACTGGTACCAGGCCAGTGCCGTGCGCGCCAGAGGACGCGGAGTGTCCCTATCATGAACATTGCACTGTGTGTCTTTTTTGGGAGTTTCGGCTGTTCGCCGTGTGCGAATTCTCTTCGGGCTTCTGGCGGTTGGACCCTGTTTGTCTTCCATGTTCATCTGGCCTTTCTTTATCCAGAAGCACTAATTTATCAAAGGAAGTTTAGAAGTCAACTTCCGACAGTATGGACAGATGAGAAGCAAAGAGGGGAAGAGTCAGAGAGTCAGAGAGAAGAGAAGAGTAGAAGAGAGAAGATCAGAGAGGAGAAAGAGTCAGAAGAAAGAAGATCCAGGTGCCCGAAAAGGTAGGAAAATCGCAAAAACCGGCGTTTTTCCAATGATTTGTGGCTCCGGAGGGTCGAAAAGTAGGCTCCCTAAAGCGGCGGGTGCGGAGCCAGCTGGCCAGATGAGAGATGAAAAATTGCACACCGTTGTGGCGCGAAGCACATTTCGAAGTCAAAATGTGCAAAACACACCAGGTTCGGACCACGAAAAAGTGCACGCCGTTGTGGCGCGAAGCACATTTCCAAGTCAAAATGTACAAAACACACCAGCTTCGGACCACTTTTGGAAGTTGAGAGATGTCGAAAAAGTGCACACCGTTGTGGCGCGAAGCACATTTCGAAGTCAAAATGCACAAAACACTACATGTTCGCGCCACTTTTGGAGGTTCAGATGTGCTTTCGCCTTACTAAAGTAAAGTTATTTAGTAGCCAAGTATTTTTTTGCAGACAATGTGAAAACGCATAAGAAACGCATATAAAGTGCATACCATTTTTTCGCATCATGTTGAACATGTTTGAAAGAAATATGATCTTCTCATGTGTTTTTCTATTGCTATCATGTCACTCAAGTAGAAATTGGCTAGCATTGAATTTATTTTATCTTGCGCGAGTAAATGATTTTGACAAGTAATGCAACATTTTTCCAAGCTTAAATTCTGCCCTTTCGCCAATAGAGTCACTTTTTTCCATAGCCAGAAATGATTACTAAGATAAGATAGAGGTGAAGGCAAGTCATCACATGCACAATGCATTTGAAAACTTCTGGCCATTGTTTGGCTTCCACCTCACAAGTAACTTTCACATGTAAGCGTCCTTGTTTGCTTTTAATTTGACAATTTATTTCCACATGTAAGTGTCATTGCTTAGTTTGAACCTCACAAGTAATTTTCAACTGTAAGTATTATTGTGGGGTTTCAACATCGCAAGTAAAATTCACATGTAGGTGTTTGTTTTTTGGCTTGGTTTTTAACATTACAAGTGATTTTCACATGTAGGTGTTTTGGTTTAGTTTTAACCTCACAAGTAATTTCCGCATGTGAATGTAACTGTTTAGTTTTTGACCTCACAAGTAGTTTCTCATATGGGTGTCTTGTCATTGCCAGTGTCCGACATCGCTTCGTCAGACGAAAATCGAATTGAGTCACTCCTTCACAGCCACAAATTGTTGCTAAGATAATATAGTTCAGATACAGCACCAATAATCACATGTACATTTTGATAAATGCTACGAATTGTTTAGTTTCAATTTCACAAGTACCCTCCACGTGTAAGTGTTTCCTTGACATTTCTGAGGTTATATAGTCACGACAACTGTTTGGAGAAAAATGCAGCACTAACGATACAACAAGGTGGGCCAGAGAACCCAAAAGCAAGACGGCACACAGCACGCCTCTTTTTGAAAATCTTGTGGTGTGGGCAGCTGTGCTCTGCACGAAATCGACGTAAGATCTTTACTGAAACATCGTGCGCACTGATGGTATCAGGGGCCACAATTCACCAAAGCATGCTGTGTCAGCTACGTCTACATTCTTCTAGTCGCTGGTTCTGCTAATGTAATTAGCTCTATCCCACCTTTCTAGTCGCTATTTATTTCTGCGTTCTCGTTTAGTTTGCTTCGCCGCAGAGGGAGCGAGGGCGAAGCGTGGACGGACAGAACACCGTGCGACATGAAAACTAAACGACGGAGGGAGTTGACCAAAGGAGCATGAAAACAAAGATATGAAGGTGACAGATGGTGAATGATCATGAAAAATGAGACATGATGAAAGATGGGTAAAGACTTCTCTGTACAAAAGCCTCTTTGCATAAAAGCTTCTGTATGTAAAAGCTTCTGTGGGTAAAAACTTCTCTGTGTAAAGGTTTTTGGTGTAAAAGTTTCTGTGTGTAAAAGCTTCTGTGTAAAGCGTCCTCTGTGTAAACAAGTTTCTGTTTGTGAACGTTTCTTTGCATACCAGCTTCTGTCTGTAAAAGCTCCTCTGTGTTAAGGTTTTGTTTGTGTAAAGTTTTCGTGTGCAAAAGCTTCTCTGTGTCGAAGCCTCTGTGTGTACAAGCTTCCCTGTGTAAAAGTTCCTCTGTGTAAAAGCTCCTCTGTGAAAAAGCTGCTCTGTGCAAAAGGCTTCTCTGTGTAAAAGCCTCTGTGTGTGCAGGCTTCTCTGTGTCAAGACTTCTTTGTGTAAAGATTTCTTTGTGTAAAAGCTACTCTGTGTAAACGCTTCTGTGTGTAAAAGCTTTCCTGTGTAAAACGCCTCCGTGTGTAAAGACTCCTCTGTGTAAACCCGTCTGTGTGTAAGAGCTCCTTTGTGTAAAGGTTTTTTGCGTAAAAGCTTCTGTGTGTAAAAGCTTCTGTGTGTAAAAGTTTCTGTGTGTAAAAGCTTCTGCGTGTAAAGGTTTCTGTGTGTAAAAGCTTCTGTGTATTAAAAAAACTTTTCTGTAAAAGCTTCTGTGCAAAAAAACTCCCCTGTGTGTACAAGCTTCGCTGCGTAAAAGCTGCTCTATGTAAAAGTTCTGTACGCCGTAAAGTTGTCTGTTTGTAAAAGCTCTTGTGTGTGAACGCGTCTGTGTGTAAAAGATTCTGTGTGCAAAAGCTCCTCTGTGTAAAGACTTCTGTGTAAACGCGTCTGTGCGTAAAGGTTCCTCTGTGTACAGACTTCTCTGTGTAAACGCGTCTGTGCCTGAAAGCTTCTCTGTGTAATCTGTGTCCGACTTCGCTGTATAAAAGCTGCTTTGTGCAAAAGGTTCTGTGCGTAAAAGGCTTCTGTGTGCAAAAGCTCCTCTGTGTAAAGGCTTCTCTGTGTAAACGCGTCTGTGCGTAAAAGCTCCTCTGTGTAAGACTTCTCGGTGTACAAAGCTTCTGTGTGTAAAAGTTTCTGTGCACCGAAAGAGCGTCTATTTGTAAAACCTTCTGTGTGTAAACGTGTCTGTGTGTAAAAGCTTCTGTGTGTAAATCTCCTTTGTGTTAGGACTTCTCTGCGTAAAAGCTCCTCTGTGTCAAGACTTCTCTGTACAAAAGGCTTCTCTCTGTAAAAGCCTTTGTGTGTACAGGCTTCTCTGTCTCAATACTTCTCTGTGTAAAGACTTCTGTGTGTAAAAGCTACTCTGGGCAAAAAAGCTTCTGTGCGTAAAGGCTTCTGTGTGTGTAAACGTGTTCTTGTGTCAAGACTCCTCTGTGTAAAAGCGTCTGTGTGTCAAGACTTCTCTGTACAAAAGGCTTCTCTCTGTAAAAGCCTTTATGTGTACAGGCTTCTCTGTCTCAATACTTCTCTGTGTAAAGACTTCTGTGTGTAAAAGCTACTCTGGGCAAAAAAGCTTCTGTGCGTAAAGGCTTCTGTGTGTAAACGTGTTCTTGTGTCAAGACTCCTCTGTGTAAAAGCGTCTGTGTGTCAAAGTTTCTGTGTAAAAGTTTCTGTGTAAGGGCTTTTTTGTGTAAAAACTTTTGAATGTAAAAGCTTCTGTGTGTAAGAGCTTCTCTGTGTAAAGGCTTTCCCGTGCAGAAGCTTCTGCGTGTGAACGCTTCTCTGTGCGTAAACGTTTTTTGTGTGTAAACACTTTGTGTGCAAAAACTCCTCTGTATAACGACTTATCTGTGCAAACCCGTCTGTGTGGAAAACGTCTGTAAAAGCTGCTCTGTGTAAAAGTTTCTTTGTGCAAAAACGTCTGTGTGGAAAAGCTCCTCTGTGTGTACAAGCTTCTCTGTGTAAAAGCTCCTCTGTGTAAAGACTTCTCTGTGTCAAAGCCTCTGCATGTACAAGCTTTTCCGTAGCTTCTCTGCGTGTGTGTGCAAGCTTCTCTGTGTCAAGACTACTATGTATAAAGACTTCTCTGTGTAAAAGCTTCTGTGTGTAAAACCTTTCCTGTGTAAAAGTTTCTCTGTGTAAAAGATTCTCTGTGTAAAGTCCTCCCTGTGTACAAGCTTCTCTGTGTAAAAGCTCCTCCGTGTAAAGCTCCTCTGTGTAAAAGCTGCTCTGTGTAAAACCCGTGCCAACAGCTCCGCATTTTCAGTGGCGCTCCCTCCCAGCAGCAGAGCTCTTCCCCACCTGCCCGTTCACGCTGATGCATATCCTATGCTTGGGTTATGGTTTAGTTTGCTTCGCTGCAAAAAGGAAGCGAAAACCAAGCATCGACGGACAGAACGCCGAGCAAAATGAAAATCCTGCAAAGAACTGTTTCCCGTGCATGTCCAGCATGTCCCTTTGCCCAGCGCTTAGACACCCACCGTTTGAGAAGTCTTTGGAACCAGTTTTTCGGGACAATCGCGTTGATGGAATTTGTCCTGAAACATCCGTGCCAACAGCTCTGCTCTTTTAGTCCCGCTCCTTGCCAACGAAGCTATGCATCTCCCATGGGCCAGGGTTTGGAAATTTTGGCAGGTCTTGGGCGCACAGTTTTTCGGAACAATCGTATTGATGAAATTTGTCCTGAAAAACCCGTGCCAACAGCAGTGGATTTTTAATGTCGCTCCCTGACAACGAAGCTATGCATGTCCTATCGCCGAGTGTTTTTGCACACCGCTTGACAAGTCTTGGGCGCACAGTTTTTCAGGACAATCGCATTGAGGCAATTTGTCCTGAAAAACCCGTGCCAACAGCCTCGCCAACGAAGCTATCGCCCAGTGTTTGCACACCGCACACAGTTTTTCGGCACATTCGCCGTGATGTAATTTGTCCTGAAAACCCGTGCGCCCAGCTATGTGCTTTCTCACTATATTGCTTCCTCCAAACGGAGCTCTCCCCAAGCTATTTCCCACAGTGTCCCTTCCGTCCCCAAACTATTTCCCACGGTTTCCCGTCCGTCCACCCTTTCATCGCGTCCGTGTCGCTCCTTCCCCTCGGAGCTCTCCCCAAGCTATTTCCCACGGTTTCCCTTCCGTCCACCCTGTCGTCATTCCCGTATCGCTCCTTCCCACCGGAGCTCTCCCCAAGCTATTTCCCACGGTTTCGCAAGCTATTTACACGGTTTCCTCTTCGTCCAGCATGCTTTCTCGCTCCCTCCCAGCGAAGCTCCCCCCAAGCTATTTCCACGGTTTCCTGTCCGTCCAGCACTGTCTCGCTCCCAGCGAAGCTTTCCGCAAGCTATTTGCACGGTTTCCTCTCCGTCCAGCATGCTGTCTCGTTCCCTCCCCGAGCTATTTGCACGGTTTCCTGTCCGTTCAGCATGCTGTCTCGCTCCCTCCCAGCGAAGCTCTCCCCAAGCTATTTGCACGGTTTCCAGTCCGTCCAGCATGCTGTCTCGCTCCCTCCCAGCGAAGCTCCCCCCGAGCTATTTCCACGGTTTCCTGTCCGTCCAGCATGCTGTCTCGCTCCCTCCCAGCGAAGCTCTCCGCAAGCTATTTCCACCGTTTCCAGTCCGTCCAGCACTGTCTCGCTCCCAGCGAAGCTTTCCGCAAGCTATTTGCACGGTTTCCTCTCCGTCCAGCATGCTGTCTCGTTCCCTCCCCAAGCTATTTGCACGGTTTCCTGTCCGTTCAGCATGCTGTCTCGCTCCCTCCCAGCGAAGCTCTCCCCAAGCTATTTGCACGGTTTCCAGTCCGTCCAGCATGCTGTCTCGCTCCCTCCCAGCGAAGCTTTCCGCAAGCTATTTGCACGGTTTCCAGTCCGTCCAGCATGCTGTCTCACTCCCTCCCAGCGAAGCTCTCCACAAGCTATTTCCACCGTTTCCAGTCCGTCCAGCATGCTGTCTCGCTCCCTCCCAGCGAAGCTCTCCGCAAGCTATTTGCACGGTTTCCTCTCCGTCCAGCATGCTGTCTCGCTCCCTCCCAGCGAAGCTCTCCCCAAGCTATTTGCACGGATTCCAGCGTAGGTTGTCTGACCTTATAGGACCCTGATCTCCTAAAGTCACATAGGACCCCCTAGTGGACACATAGGACCCCTGTCTTGAGCAGGGTATGTACTACACACTGGTCATACAAGTGACCACACCCTTTGTTCCAAAGGTGGTGCTGGTTTGCGCAATTGTTTCCAGATGGATGCTATGCTACATGACTAATGAAGCGATACATCAGCACATTATGCATCTAGATTAGCTATGTGGTGCCTCAAATGGACCAATTGGATTGATCACTGCACAGGCAGTGGCGGAAGTTTCAAAGATAGGAAACCAATAGAAGAAGTATATACTTATGTTCCCATACACCAACATATATTTTATTTAATATAATTATAATACATATATATAAATACCAAAAATATAATATATATATATATACTTTATTATATATATATATATGTATTTATATTTAATATATATATAATACATGTGAAAAAGTAAGAACCAGCATCGGGAATTAAAATATATTAAAATCACTTGGAGTTTTTCACAGGGGTATCCCAAACTCTGTTGATGGACTGCGGTATTGGATCTCACACTAGATCTGACCTTATATACATGCAACCTTATATATATTATATATATGTAGGGGGGTTTCCAACAACTGTTTTGGTTCTATCCCAAATTTAAAATTTATTTGGAACATTTCTTGGGTTGGTAAACGTGTATATATATATATATATCCCACTATTACCCCTTTTTGGGATGATGAATCTCCACATGATCGCCGCTGATCGACCGTCCAAGTGGCTCTTGCCAAAATATAGATACATATGTTTATTTAAATGTCCAGGTATGTCTGGAAATATAATATCCCAAGGTCACAATTTTGAACATGGTTCTCACACAACATTATTATAGTTTTATGCTGGGTTTCCCAATTTAAGGCGCCTCCACAACAATTTATGTATTCACCACATATCCATTTGCAATTTATATCATCGGTAAATGTTTGACTAATGTTTCATCACCCACACTTTTTTTGGTGATCAAATCATCATCGTAAAGGTATATGATCTTTGGAATTTGTAACCCACTTACCATCTTAAAAACAAACACCGGTCACAGCCAGCAGTTTTCAACGCAGATTTGCACCAGTGATCCGCACGCGCTGTGGTTCCTTAGATCCATGCGCAGGCAAGCGCTGTTGGGCCAGGGTGTGCTTGGATCAGGGGACGTGGTTTGGTGTGTCGGGATTGTGAATCCATGGGCCCTCATGCAGTTGAAGAGCTCAAGCGGGTAATTTCAACAAATTTTAGTATGGAAACTTATACGTGGTCTTTTTGGATGTGTATATATATATATAGTCCCAGCATCAACAGTACAGCAAATTAGATATATTCTAGTACATACTTATATAGCCCTTTGCATGCAGCCATGGGCGTTCGACGCCGACAGCAAAAGGTGACCCGAAAGGGTCACATCAAGCTGGTTGTCAAATGCCTTGCTAAGAAACTTGGTTGTGAAACGGAACAAGCCCGGATGATCTCAACTGACAGGGTTTTACCTTTGGGATCTTTGAGAAGGTCATGTGTGAGAAATTTGTTCACAGGTTGGATTGTTCGCCTTGTGGGGCAAGGGCGGATCCTTACAAAAAAATTGACTCAACAGGTTTTGATGCAGCTCCGAAGGAAGTTCGACCTTCCAATCGGAAACCCGGAGGAACACAAGGAGGAGATAAACCGGCTGCATTGCTTACTCAAGGCTTCGAGGAAACAACAGCTCGGGAATCCCCGTGTTAAACCTGCCATGTCGTTCATTGACAACTTGGACACCCAGCCAATGGATGCAGATGGACTTCACAGTGACAATTATGCCCAGGACCCCTTTTGCATATCTCTGTGTTTGGTTGGTCGCAAGCCTGAATAATAGCTATGCTTGCGCGCGCGCAGCATGTGGCCCAATAAAAAAATAACATGCATGCAGATTCGAGACATGCACATTGATGGTGTCCAAGCAGTAAAGATTACCATTTCATATCCAACTAGAAAACTCCAGTGTGATGTGCATCACTGCCAACCCCTTCCAATCAAGCATCGATCGTGCAGGAGCAGATTGATCGCGATGTTCACAAAGACGCTTGGATCAGCCCTCGATTCCAAATGAGCTGTCCATCCATCTTCGTATGTTTTAAGTTTCAATCTCTAAACATAGTTTTGCACACCCCCTGTATTGAAATATTTCCATCTGCATGATCATGAGTTTGATCAAATCCTAGGAAGAAGATATGCCTCCGCCTCCTGTGCCAGCCAAGAGGAAGCCTGTCCCTACACCTGTTCGGACTGATCAGTGTGAGGCAACTCAGTGATTCCATCTCCATCTAGATTTTGAATCAGAAGTCTTAAAGCCAAACAATTGTCTCTTTCAAAATGAAATAGATATCATGACCCATCATGCAGGCATCTGTCTTGGATGCAGCCCCAGATGCTCCTGATCACGAAGCTGTCGAAAATGCCAGTCCAGAAAGATCCAAGCAGTATCAGTAGCATAGTATAGTCGACAATTTCCACTCCTCGATTGTTCGGTGCATGTTTCACTTGTGTATGTATTTGCACGTTCTTCAAATTTTGGTGATTCCGACCAAGGACAGTTCTAATGGAGATACTTGGGAATATCCTTTGACTTGGCCTGGTTGGGAGAATGACTACGCATTGCGAGACTACAATCCTGAGTTGTTGGCAGGTGAGTGCTGATCAGTATCTTAGAAACTCATGGCCAACAAAATCTACAATGCTAACCGAATTGGGTCACCATCCTTCTCTGGGCTAGGTGGCCATGATGACCATGGTGAATATACCGATGAGATGTGGGACTGGGCTGCGGATGCACTGGGCGGCAACCCTACTTCTGCTTTTTGCCCAGGCTCCCTGGTTGATATTTACAAGCCAAGAAAATCGACAAATAGAGATAGATAGAGATAAAGATAGAGAGATCAAATACTTCATGTATATATATATGCATACGATTGCAACATGAAAGTTTCCAGGGGTCACAATTTCAGCACCTTGACACCTGAGGTTCCAAGGTGGAATGTGATGATGCGTCTTGTGATCAGGGTGACGCCCAGCCGGCGTGGGAATCGGGTGATGAATCCGAGCAATGAACCTCAAATGCATTCAAAAAGTAACCTTATATGAATATGCGAGCCTTTTGTTTCAAATCGACCACATTATTTTTTAAGGGAACCAAGTCAGCTGAGGGAATGGAGGCGACGATGATGATTGTGGCGAACATGCTCTGGCCAATTTGCATTTGTCAGAATCTTGTGGCTTGATTCAAAATAGGTCAACCTGAAAATTCTCATTGTTTATAAATGTCCAGAGGTCCAATTAGATCCTGGTACCACCAAAGATTCTCTCTGAAATCATATGCCAATAAATCCAGTCAGTGAACCATGCATTGCATATCCAACAACAAAATGTCACTCTTCCAAGGGGAACCGGGAAGACTATGACTGGTATGACTCTGATGCCTATCCCAAAGATTCCGAAGGACATTGAATGCAACAACCCAACCCTTACCAGATGCTTGTTCCAACCAAGTTTCCAGCACTGTGTAAATAGTCTAGATCTGAATCTCGCGCAGGACATGCAGCACCTGACTATGCCGGGCTCTCCGTGTCTGAGCACTGGGAGGATGGGCATGATTGGAGCAGGTGGACCGATGACGAGGCGCATGCCAACAATAATAAAAACTATTCAAGGTGATCATTTACCATGTCCCATATATTTTTCAATCACATATAATTTGATCAATATTTATTTATACATATATATGTATATATATCATGCATCATATCTCGTGTATGCCAAACCTTCAATGTCATCAGATTGTGAATTTGTAACTTGTTGTATTGAACTTGCAAGTTCGGTCAGGTTGATATGATGCTGAGAGCCAAGACCCTGACCCTCGATTTCTGGAATGTCACGGATGTCCCTTGGGCCAACACTATCGAATAGTGTAACTATAGTGCAAGTTTTGAAGAATGGTTCATGATCGAATTATGGATGGCCTTGTCGAATTCCATGAGAATGTTTACCCTTCATTTTCCTATGCCTATGCAAGAAATTATCAAGCCCAGGATGGTTCTGCGGGATCTGCGGCATCTTCTACGAATGCTACTGCGGGATCTTCGGTGGCCCCTGCTCTGGATCGCAAGGCCCCAATATCAAAGTGATACCTTTTGGATATATGGAACTTCCATCAGTGTGTTTCAGTTCTGAGATGGGTCAATAGTTATGTTGTTGGGTAATCCAAAACTTAACCAATTGTTACCTGAGTGATTTTGCAGCCCAACATCAATTCTTCCTCATTGGGTTTTCCGCACAGAACTTACCCCTTGGCAGGATAAGCAGGCAGCTTTGCCAAAGAAGGTTGTGACCCCATACGCCAAGATTCAGATAGCGGCTGAAAAGAGGATGGAGACATCGTTGAAGAAAGCTGCTTTGGAAACTTACTTCATTTAGTTCAATTTTGTGGGCAAGTGTTGATCGGGATTTGGGGCGCCCCTTAAAGCAAAGTTACCCCTAATTTTAAGGTAGGAAAAAAAAACACATCACTGCCACAAAAACAGGAGAGCACTTTTCTATCTTTTTGGGTGAAACCAAAAAGACATAATATCCTCCCCATCCTTCCCTGCCGGTTCAGGATTCTGACATGGGACCTGACGCAAAGCCCAAAGCTGCCAAAGCTGCCAAAGCCAAGGGCAAGGCGGCCGCAAAGGTCAAGGCTGCCTGCAAATCCAAAGCATCAAAGAAGAAACATACCCCGAAGAAAGCATCGAAGGAGAACCAAACCCCGAAGAAAGCACGTGGAGAGACCACTTATGGTCAAGCCAAGAAGGAGTTTGCTCAGAAGTCAATCTCATAAGTTTAGCAGGTCTTTCAATGTTTTCCACTTGGGATGTCTTGAACTGTTTGGGCTTTATATTTTGGGGTTTCCAACATTTCCACAAAAGAAACGGTGCAGGGTTGAACATGGTTGAACCACCATGTGTTATTCGATATCCTTATATATACATAATACATCTCAAATGTTTCAAGATCCAAATATCTCACTTTTTTGTATCGATGTAGATGAGCATACATAGAAATATCACTCATCCAATTTATTCACACAGACAGCCGAGATCCCAGACCTGGCCTCCACTCCAGTGCCAATGCCAAGGTGCCGCAAAGAACAGAACGGCATCAAAGCCAAAGAGATTGAAGTCCTTTGGAAGGCCAGTGCGGTCAGGGCAGAGATTCTTTCTACCATGCCGGAACATGAGCAGAAGCGTCGTCGATACATCTAGATGGTTCAAACGGTTTTTTAAGAGTTTGCAGTAACTGCTTTCCAAACAATGAATATATTAGCTGTTGCATGATCCGTCATATATGCCCTTGAGCTTGATTTTACCGGGGATGCTTCACGTCAATCTTTGACAACGGAAGCTTATACTTTTCTGTTGAGTGCACAGCCACTTGACGTAGATCCTATGATGTGTGAATGGCATCTTTGGTTCAATCTGAAGTAGACATGTTGTCAGGTATAGACATGCCTGACCTAATCTCTTGCTGTGTGGCTTCACACGGAAATTCCAAGTGATGTTTCGCGATTGGGGAAAAATCCACATTCACAGTGTTACATGTGCCTGTGGCCACTTGGATGGGTGTGGGGTGCCGAGGTGGATTTTAACCCAAGAATCTATCCCTCTTTAGGTATGGCTTATAGTTTTGCCAGACCACATAGTTTGGCTCAGTGATGTTCATATCATGGGTGTATGATTTTATGGTTGTGTTTATACCACCTAAGATCCCTAGATGGACTGACTGCTTGGCACATGCAGCTGGGTGCAAACGATTCCTTTGAAAATGAATGTGCGCAAATTAGAATCATGATTTTTTCTTGTGCAGAAAGTGTTTGTGAACCATACTTCCAAGAACATGCTTTTCTGAATTCCAATATCACCGAGGCTCCTAATTTTCCACTTGGGTTGGTTCCCCAAAAAAGGCTCCCACAAGTCCCATGGAAATTTAACCAACCGAGACACAGCCGCCTTGCAAACCTGGACTTTGAAGAAAGATGTGTTGCACCAGCTTTGGTCCTCAGTGGTGCCCAAGGGCTCAAAGTCTCACATGGGAGGATCGAAACAACAGCATTCGGACCAGAAACTGATTTGTTTCTAGTTAGGTTTGTTTCTAGAAGAAAGCGTTCTCCATACCAAGCCCCTGCAGCCATGAAATACAGTGTTCTGGCAGCAGTGATTCTTGCACTGCTTTCCAGTTCCTTGACAACGGTATAGTATAATGTTTTGGATATGATTTTCAAAGCTTTTTGTTTCTGACTTCAGTTTACAAGTCAACCAAAACCCATGCGTTTTGGCCGAGGCTTTGGGCCTACACGGGAGGATGAGAAGCTTCACCTACTTGAGCTATGTGCTGGTAGCCACAGGCTCACGGATTCTACCCTGGAATTTGGGCTCTCAGCGCTCGCACTTGATGTTACTAGCTATGCTTAGAATTGGCATGTAGGGTGGTGTGGATCGACCCAAAGAGCATCATATCTATATATATGTATATACTTACCCAGCCAAACCCCAACGACTTAAAAGTTCAAACTTTTCTTATTGAATTTAATGGGGTAGGCACACTGCCAGGAGGCCCCCCCCAACCCCAGGGTTCCCTACCCCATTGAAAAAACACCAAAAAAGTTTGAAAGTTCTGTCTTGGCAAGCCAAGTATATACATTGGTCCTATTTAATATTATATATAGTTCTTGGATTCAGGAAGTACACATTGTTGCGTGCAAGACCCATGGCCATCTGTGTTGGTGCTAGTCGCTGACCTGAGGTTGCGTACTCGAGACATATGGACCTACAGAGCTCAACAGGACTACTGGGAGCCATCCAAGCAGCCCGCCGCATTGTCCGTGGCGCGTTGCTATGGATTGGCATACCCTGTGCAAGCTGGGTATGGATGTCTCGAGGGTCGACAAAGCGTTCGCAACTAAACCCTCGTGGTGGGAAGGGCCGCTTCAAGAATGTCCGTGCCACAAACAGGTTGGTGCGGCGTGTATGCCACTTGTTCCTTGCTAAAATTCTTAGTTACTGTTCATTGTCAATTTGTGATACCGATTCAACAAAACAATGCTTGCTCTCATGCCATTGAGGTTGGAGTATTTGCACCTTAAGGGAATCGCTTGGTGCATTGAACAGCCAAGCTCGAGCTTATTGCCTTTTTACAGGCCACTTCAGGTGGGGTAAATGATTCGAGGGTATTTGTACACAAATCAGAAAGGTTTGCCATTTATAAGTCACGGGGTTTAATTCTGCCTCACTGCGAGGACCTCATCAAGCGCCACAAGGCAAAGATCTATTATCTTCCTCTCGGTATGTTTGGGGCTTCAACCGAGAATCTTGTCGGCAGGCTTTTTGAGATCGATCTGCAGTGAAAACAGTTTGAAGATCTTCTGGTTGCCATCATCCTAAGGAAGCGAACCATGTTGATAACAACGGCAAAATGGATGACCAATTTACCATGCCCTAGCATGACACCAGAGAAAAGGCCAGGGAAATTTCTTTGTTGAAAAAACTCTGTACCAGATATGTTCAGTGTTTCTGTGAGATCTGAACCTCTTCCACATGCCAGGGAAGTTCTGCATGCCCTGCAGAGCATGAAATCCATTCGTATGGTGAAGAAATACCGGGACAAATCTGGACGTCTCCGAGTGGCTTCTAACTTAGTTGGATTAATCACACACACAAAACACCGAAACCATTAAAGCTTGTCCCCACAATGATATGCCAGGGTTATATTATCACTCGCAGCTTCAGGCTGGCTCCACATCACTGCGAGCTTCACAGGTGTACCCTTGGGATTTCTCTTTCCAAGCTTCTTGCCCATCAAAGTTTGGGTATACCATGCCAGGTGAACAGTGTCTAAAAGATTGTAAAAAGACATGTTGAAGGGTTACAACGTTTCATCGGCTATTCCTGATGTGATATTGTTCGATTAGTCTTCAACTATTTTTTGAAGACATTCTCAAATTCAAAATGGCCGTTGCCCACACCGGCTAAACAAATCATTTGCATCTGATGCCAAGCGGCTCCAAGGTTGTTGCGATGCTGCAGCAGCACTTCCAGGATCAACTGACAGCTTGCCCTGCATGGAACGAAGTTCCAACCGATGTGGGGCTGGTTTTCAAGGATGTGTCCCCACTCTCATCAGATTCAGAACTAGAAGATCTGTTGAAACAGGAACCTGAAGCAGTGGACTGACATGAGTCTGCATGCTCCACCTTTTTGGACCGGGGACTTAACATGTAGCAGGGCAGAGCGGAGTATCTGTCTGGTTGATACTTGGATGGCCCTGCACTACAGAAAAATGGTGGGTGATCCGTGCCACTTTCAAACCATTTGGTTTTGGGGATGCATAAAAACCACAAGTGTACAATTGCCTTCCAAAAGGGTATGGCTACCAGGGTTGCCGATCATATGCGTGAAAGTGCTTTGGATTCTGGATCTTGGGGTGTGGCCAGTTCGAGCAAGCACAGGTTAGATGATTATAAGTTTTTCAAAAAAAAGTAAGATGAGAACATGTACACAGATGATAACATAAATTTAATTGGTTCCCTCCACTTCCCCTCCTATCATCTCCTACCAGCATCTGCGACTTGTGTGCCCATGTGCCACTCCTTGCAGGCGCCATGTCGTCAAGCAGCGATGATGCCCCACCTAGGGCAAAGAGGAGCAGGCCAGCAGTGAAACGGGTATGTGGTTGCCCTCAACAAGGGTATGCATTGGCTTATATATATATATATATATATATATATATATATTATATATAGATGTGTATATATATATATATGTATCTGTATATGTAGCTGTATATGTGCAAATTTGAACATGCTGGGGTCAAATGGTCGCATTGGAACTGGGATCACATATTCTGTGCCTTTTATTTTGTTTCAAAAGGAACTTGACTGGTTGCTATCCAGTGCCTGTATAGAATCCAGGTACCTGTTCTTGAGGCATTCTGACACGGTTTGACACGGTTTGACACGCTGTGACACACTTTAACACATTTTTACACGTTTTGACACAGTTTGACCTCTGCGTGTCAAACCGTGTCAAACCGTGTCAAACCGTGTCAAACCGTGTCAAACGAAGCATGGGACCCCTCTAGGGCGTGTCAAAGCGTGTCAAACCGTGTCACTGGTTGAAGAGCCATTTGGCTCAGAAGTGGTGACCGGTGGAAGGCCAATTGGTCTGATGGAATCTTGATTGCATAGTTTATACCCAGTGTTGCATGTAAGAAACACCATTTGGCTACATGGTCTGCCACGTACATGCATGCCCCAAGGATTCGAGCAAAGGAAAACATGCCGGGAAAGGCCTGGGATCAAATATATATATATATATATATGTAAGTGTTTTTGTGATCACATATGCACTGTGTTTTCCTACCTTTCTTTGGGCTAGCTTTTGAACCTGAGGCTTGGCAAAAGGAAAGGGCAAAGCCATTGCCATGGCTTTGTTAGCCAAAGGTAAGGCCAAAGGAAAAGGAAAAGGGGAGACACAAGAAGAACCCCCAAGGAATGAAAAGGAACCTGTTGAGAAAGACCCCAGGGCCGAAAAGAAAATGGAACAGCTTAGGAGAATGTGTCGGCAATCAGTCAAGGCAGATAACCCTGAAAACAAACATGTTTCAGAGAATGCATGTGAGAAGCCTTTGAAGAAGAAGCGATCTCGCAAGAACCTGGAGGTACCTAGTGAGACGCCAGTTGAACCGACTAGTACTCGAAAAAAGAAGCAGGACACCACTGCACCAGAGGAGGCCCCCACAACTGAGAAGAAGAAGAAGAAAAAACAAAAGGAACAAGAACAGCAGGAAGTTGAAGAGACTGAAGTAGTTGAGAAGAAAAAGAAGAAACGCCCTACTGCTGAAGTCGCCGAGACTTCAAGCCCACCAGCAACAGAAACGCAACTGCAGATTGAAGATGCAAAGGAAGATGCCAAGCCTGCACCACCAAAGGCCTGGTTATGATTCGGGATGTGATTTTAAAGTAAGTATTTTTCATTCAATTCCATTCACATGTGTTCTCATGTCTTTAGTTATATACTCCCCTTGCCTACGCCATATCCAGGCCCGGAAGAAGATGCTGTGCCAGCCCCATCTGCCGAGGGGCCTCCAAGCCTGGTTCGCCTTCGAACGAAGACCAGCACTGACAGCCTCGATGATTCATCGTATGTGACCCCACCCAGAGGCCCCAAGGTTTTCACACCGACCAGGGGGGAATCCAAATCCACTGATAAGACCCCTGCAAGTTCTGCTACTGCTGCAACGTCAAAAAGGTCTAGCAGGCCAACTCCAGCATCGTTTCTTATCAGCATATAGCAAAGAAACATTAGCCGTTCCGGGGATCAGCTATATATATGTTTGAATGGTTGACTTTACCCCTATACTACATCCAAGTTGGATCCCAGGTTGCAAAGGTCATTCTCAACTGTCAGTGTATCTTGGAAGAAATTGGTAGAACAGAGTAACATGGAATTTCAAAATCAATTCATACATGACCCTGTTCCTGAGTTGATCTTTGGTATCAGGATGGCACTGGATCCGTTGTCGAGGCTGGGGTTCGATCATAGGCATTCCAACTTCGCTGACCCATATATTATCTGAAAATATGTGGATGGAATCTCACATAGAATCACATAGATAATAAGTGTGTTTGTTATAGATTTGAATATACATCATGTTACAAATGCAGTTGAACAGCATCATCAACTTTCCAACATTTAGTTTTTATGTTCCATCATGCTCACTTTCCTGCCCAGCGACATTGCGAGGCATCTCCAGTTGCCGAAGCATCTCAAGATGGTCGGGTGCTTCGGGTGCCTTAGTCATAGCTCTTTCTGAAAAGCAGTGACATGTCACTCATCTTGATTGTTCCTATAGCTTTCTGAAATGCAGTGAAGTGTCATATGTTGAATATATCTTGATGACTCAAAATGAACATGTTTGAATGTCAAAACATATGAATACAGTTTCCAGAAAAATACCACGTGATTAAGGTGGCGGAAATGAGCGATGAAGCGAAAGAGAAGATTCGCAGCATGCAAAAGACTGACATTCCAATTGAAGAGAGACGGGCTTTGTACAACTCCATGGCCAGGAGATTTCGAAACCCGAATGGCCTCAAACCTGGTCTCTTGCAGAAGTACAATGCATGCATCTCTGACCAAAGGGAACGCTTCAAGCTGCTGAAAGAATTTATGATCAGTGAAGACATGTCATCCCCTCAATTGTCATCTTGTCAAGATGTTGGTGCAGTTCTTTTTCACAGTTGTTAGATTCCTACTAGAGTCCAACACTAAGGGAAGAAGTTCATGTCGAAGCGTACTTCGTTCAGCCCAGCCCCTAGCCTCCACAGAAATTCCCCACCAAGTGGCTGCCAAGTGATGCTGGGACCCGAGGGAGTCATCGAAGAAGAACGAGGATGTCTACGAGAAGGTGCCTTTGTTCGATCTGCAAGAACGCTTCGGCAGCACTGAGGGTGGGCGGTCCGCTGACCCAGATTTCTTGGTATTTTGGATTCACTAGCTCCTCAAGTTCAGAAAGCAAATTTATCTTCAATCAGAAAACATCAGAAACCCATTTAGTGCAGATCTGTTTGATTGGGCTAAGGGCCTTCATAGACCGGATCGTTGCCAGCCTGATTCCCAGCAACTACAAACATGCAGTTAGCCATTGGATCCCGTGAACATTACAAATAATTACATGTTTTGCAACAACATCAGGTCAAACAGGTGAACAGAACCCTCAAGAATCTCATTTGCATTTAAAACTGTTGCAGCATGTGACATCATTATGACTTTCGGTTTTGTTCTTGGCCCTGAAAATCTATTGCTAAGTTCCCCGATGATGACCGGTTCAAGATCTACAAAGTCTACAAGAAGCACAAGGAAACCAGTGCCTTGGTTTCAACATATTAAATTTCTTGGTGAGGTCAAATGCATACTGTAATAATACATAATAATACCCATATCACAACATTATCAAGTATGCACACACGTTTTCACTATTTTTTTGAACTTAAACAATTCAGCCCTTCCAGATCAAAGCAGCCAAAGTTTCTGCATCCATCACGCAGCCCTTGCCAGACGCTGAAAAGACAGCGGCGGGAACACGAACCTCAGCTGGCGGCGTGGTGGCCTCCAAGGCACAGAAGGCTGCGCTAGGTGAGGCCATGCACCACCAGATAGCTGGGTTGAAAAAGGAGGAGGTCGCCAAACGACCAGGAGCTAAGCGTAGACAATCCAGTGCTAAGACCACATCAACAAAGAAGGAAATCACAGAAGCCAAAAAACTTCAGAAGGCGATCAAACAGCATCTCAACTGGTTTATTTTTCCATGTTAGATTGTTTCATTTCATGGCAGCCTTCAAATTAGAACAGTTGGAAATCTCAAAGATACCAAACTGTGAATTGCCGCATGTTGTTCCAAGGTTGCGGGACAAGGGCCAAAAGGCCAGAGAACTTGCACAGGACATGGTTGACCTAGCGATTCCTCACCAGGATGTCCTTCCCCCAGTCATTTTACTTCCAATGTTTCAGTGATCTTTCTGCGTTGGTGATTTTATTGTGATTGATTAACCCCCCAGGCTATGGCCAAAGTCTTGGAGGATCACCATGGGTATCTACGAAAGGTGGCTGAAAGGAGTACAAATTTCTTGATTTGTTATCTTGCACCACCATGTCTCAAACATTGTGGCTGTTGACACCTTTTAACATATCTTTTGAGATTTGGTCCTATGCTCCTGGGTTTCCAGGATGGAAGACGCAACTTTCCAGAAGAAGTCTGTCGCTGCGATTTGGTCCATCAAGGACAAAGAAGCGAAGAAGATCGAGGTGCTACATATACAAATAGCTACACACACATATGTATATATTTGCATAAATGTATTCATATGTTTTCCCACATATCATGTGGCCAAGTGTTTTTAACGATATACACAAACAAATATATATATATATATGTGTTTATTGCCGATGTATGCAAATAGATTTCAAAAAATCAATAGGGAATTTGGGATTCAAACCATAAACATATACCCAGCTGGCCTGACTCATCCAACCAAAGGCAGCCGCTGAAGATGTCGACAATGCGTCTGGCACCGTGAAAGCTTGGAAGAACCGCTTGGGGCTTATGATTGGGCAACCAACCAGTGGTGTTCCAACCGGTTCAAACAGCTTGACTTCTAAATGATTTTTGTGGATTGGGCTCACGCTGAATCAATGTGCTTTGTCTGTTCCATTTCATTGGTTTTCATTTCCTTTTTGCACCAGTCACTTGCTGGGCTAAGGTTTGAAGAACAAAAAGAGAAAAGAGGACAGAGAAAGTGCAAAGAAGAACAAGGACAAAACTCCTGAGGAGGATGAGCAGCTGGATCATGATGAGGTGGATGAAACCCTGGTGGATGATGATGAAGATGTGGAACATATGGATGATGATGAGTTTTGGGCGAATTATGACTGGGATGAGGAAGCGGAGGAGGAAGAAATGCACCGCGCCCCTGCCCAGAGCTGCTAGGTTTCAAACTTTTTGATGTCATGTGATCCATTCGATGCAATGGGTCTGAAATGTCCAATGCGTATGCGTGTTGATCTTGACACGTTTAGACGCGAAATCTTAGATGATATGTGCAGGGGTTTGACCAAGCACCTGTGACAGAACACGGGACGCTTACTGTCAGCACAACTTGGGATCAGCACACGGTCAGTGAAAAAGCCGTTTGCTAGCCAATGCTTTCAAGATCTTTCAAGTCAAAACCTCGATCACTATGTACTGTAACTGGATGCATCACCACTGATACGCAAGAATGACCCCCCATGAAATTTCATATTCTGTAAAACTACTGTTTGGCAGGCGGGCCACTGACATGCAGAGGTCTGTGGTAGACTCTCTGGTGACTGACTTCTTCAAGAAGATGGCCAAAGGAAATGTGTCTAGTCTAATCTGAGCACTGTGTGGTTGCAATCAGGATACATACCATAAGGGGCCAACCTATCAAGAATCATGCCAATTCGCATGTGGTTGCTAGTCTTGTTGACCAGAATGTCTCCTGTTTGGATTATCCCATTTACTTTTGGGACACGCATTGTAAACGTTGATTAGGATGCCAGTTGGATGATTTTCCAAGAAAGCAAAAATAGCTATCAATAGTTTTGCAATTCCTGTCCCTATCCGCAACCATGCAACGCCCATCTCAGGAGAGCTGTGCCTCTCTGAAAGATCTGGTGGCCCGCATTTGCAGGTTGGATCATTCCTTGGTTCCGAAGCTTGGTGGATTAAGTGGGTGGGATAATCTGATCCTATTAACCCCTGTTATTTTCAGTGGGTTTTTTGTACCCCATATTATATATGAATTCAATACATTTAAGATACATGGTGCCACTCCCAACTGTTCATTTTCAGGGTTAACCCAAATAGAAGCCCTGTTCACTACCATCTTCTCAGCCCTGAGGAAATCCATCCTAGAGCTGCATGAGCGATTCGAATGTGGCGGTGGCTGGGGCCTTGAGAGAACATTCAATAAATGGGTGTGTTCACAGCCCTGGCGCCAGATCATGCCAAATTTTTTCGAGCCCCTTTCCCAAATAGCAAGTGTTTTCCCATTTTGAGTTTTGAAGGGTGCCACATTTAGAAACTGTTTCTTTAGCCTCAAAAAAACAACAAAGGTTTGAGGTGCCAGAGCCTTTTCTTGTTGGGTCGTAAATTTTTACTGTGGTCCCACCTTGTTTTTCACAAGTTCTTTTTGGGAAAAGGATGTCACTACATGTCGCTATCAACAGTCTAAATTGTCCCCTTACATCTCATTGAATCGAGGTATCAATGACCGAGACGCAGCTTCTTCTCAGAGGCCAGCAGTTCTGCAGGCAGTCTGTGCTTCTACCTCACGAGATCGTTGCAAGTCTTTACCATCACCCAGATATTTTCTATCCGATGATTGTTGGAGAACCTGGCCGTATTGCCCAATATTGGATGGAAGACCTAGATTTATTGGATGCCCTTGAGATTTCCGACCATGGTCCAATATAGTAACTTTTTTTTGAAAACCTATTTTAACATAAGCCCTTGTAAACCCCAAAACAGATCGTGTTTAAGTGGGTATGGTTTCCAATCAAGGATGCGTCTACATGTGTGCCTTTTCGTATGTATGGAGACGGCGCTGATGCCTCCCAGCATTTTGAACTCTTCACAATATTGCCGCTCCTATGTTGTAGCAGATCGACACTGGATAACCGCATTGTGACTGCCAACAAGACTACACCCGAATGCCGTCAACAGATCTTAGTTGTTTTGGCGTGGTCATTTGAAGCCCTCCGCAACTTGATCAAGTATCCATCAAAACAATCATTTTGAAATTGGGGTATGTTTGGTGATCTACCATTTGCATTAATCCTTAGGTCCCGAAGCACCCAAGAAGAATTAAAATCGAACATCATAAACTAGAACCTGTCCCAACTTCCTTCCATCTTGTGGAGCAAGGTCTTGGGATACATCCACATCAAGATCCATGGGGGCAACCGTTTTCAGAGGCACATCACCCAAAAAGATTTGCAGTGGCAGGGAGCCGGCTAAGTGGTGAGTTTACCTATGCCCTCGACGGGGTGCAGGGGGACGCTGACTTCGTAGCAGCGCTTTTCAACCTCAACCGAATCTCAAAACATATTGGATCTTTTTGTGTTTCTCTTGATTACCCCAATGAAACGATAGCAAATAATAACAATCTATTTTTTTGGGGATATCATTTTTCCGTTCTATTTCCCAAAGTATACAAAGTCTAAGGAAGCTACAGGCAGGCACAGAGAATGTTGTTATCACTGCAGAGTTGTTGCCTCTTTTGATGCAACAAGAGGGCCTGATGAAACCCATCTCCTTTATACCAACTGGGGACGAGATGCCGCATACAGGGCTGAGTAGCTCAGCAGCACCGGCCATGGCCAATAAGGGTCGAGGTAAGTTAAGTTCTGCTCTGATTAGTGGGGTGTGATAATTCGATGTTCCCAAGGTTTCCCTGTGGTTCATGCACTGCCTGTGCCAGGTTGACTTCGTGCAGTGAGTTCATCCGCGTGAATGGGCCGAGTCCATTGACCTCTGTCAAAGGCTTTTCGCCATGGAGAGCCTAGAATTGTTGACCAAGTAAAATTTTGGTAGAACCCTTCAACCCTTCTGATGTTTTAATTCTGTACATCTTGAAGTTTAAGGGGTGTTAGATTTTATGCCAACTAAGGGATATACCCAGACATTCTGCATATCCTGGATCTTGCAACATTTTGTGATCTCTATGCATCGGCTTTCCTCACCTGGACGGATAGTCAATCCATCTTCGGCGGAAAGTCAAGGGACGAGCGATTGCTGGGATTGTATCGGAGATACCTGCAGTGGTGTGTGGATAACAGTGTCTTTATCCACATTAGGTCAAGTTTGTTTCGACCACTTTTCCAAATTGTGCCTTCGAAACGGGTGTGAAAGAGATATTTATATATATATATACAAATATGTATATGTATTTAACAAGTATATACATATAAATATATCATATCCAGTTCATTGGCTACTTAGGGATACCACATGGTTGCAGAGCACGAGCAATTCTATTCCAAACATCCACTTTGCAAAGTTCGACTTCAAAATATCCATCGATTGGCCAGAAGAAATTGAATGGAGCATCATCCCGCATGATGATTTTTTTTGCTGCCGGTATAGCTAGGGAAATTCATCGCCAACACCCCTCTGACTGCCACAGGCCAGGTCCAAAAATCTGTGTTTAAAGGGGAGTTCATGGACCCATAAGAAACGTTTTGCAAACCCAAATTTGAAACGTTTTTTTTGTTGAATGTTGAGTTCCATTTTGGTTCGGAAACCTTTAAATTGCCATGTTGTGGGTCAGGTGGATTATGGAATGTCTTGGGTCCATGGCATCCATCAGTATTGCATTTGCTACTCATGGTCCTGGCATGATGCCAGATGAGGAAGTTGCCAATCTGGAAGTTCAGTATCTTCAATACCGCGATGCGTACAACAGTTTCTTGGGGTCGATTTTTTTAATGCACATGATGGTTTTGGTTGTTCTACCCCTGGGTACATAGAATTGTGTTTGGTGAAATTCCACAAAACTGTAAAATTGCATCCCCTTTGCTTTTTGGAACCTTGAAACAGTTTTAAGGCTTGGCACTTTGGGCGTTGGAAGTTCGTCTCCTACGATTCCCAGTTCGACCAAAGATGCATTCCTTTGAGCATTTGAAACTTGAGTTATGGTCAAAGAATGGTTCACCACACCCAAACAGAATTTAATATATCTACATGTTTCCTTCCAGTACCCATTTCCTTTCAACGGTTGTGAACTGGGTTGATCAGGATACTTGATTTTGTACCTCGACATGGCAATGCCAGATATTACCAATGCCTACTTGATGAGGATATGATTCGCAGAGAACCTTTCTCCATTAATTTGGTTATTTGCATTTTTCTTCACCCCTGGGGAAGATATAGTTCCCAAAAATAATATAAGTAAATCTTGGGTTGAAAAATCCAATAATCTCAGTGGGTTCAATGATGTTTTTTTACTTGTGACAAATCCCCTATCCAAGGTCAAAACTTTACTCAAAAATGTACATCCCTTGGTGTTCTCCCAAAGGGGATTAGAGCACTACTGCACTTTCATATGCCTCCGGTGGAGTGGCATTGTGAACACCTGACCTGTGACCTGAAACTGAAAAACATGTTTTGTGATGGCACTGCAGCTGGTGGTGTGGTATTGTGACCGACGGTATTTTCCCCACCAAAAAAATTAGGGATGATGTTCCCCCTTCAACTAGATCTCTTTCATATTTATATATGTATATATATATATAGATATAGATATAGATTTAGATACATCTACAAAATATAGCGACATGTATATATTATCAGAAACTATTTTCGTCGAGTACGCCCACCGTGTTTCTATTCTGACATTTTCTCTGGCCCTGGCATTCTTTTCTGACATCTTATCTGCTCAAGCTTTGCTTGACAGTTCTGACATTTTATCTGGCCCTTGCATTTTTTCTGACATCTTATCTGCTCAAGCTTTGCTTGACAGCTTTTCTACATGTAGGTGACTAGGCTTGACGTATGCTTTGGGAGTGAAAAAGACATGGCTCAAGGCCAGCTTGGCATCAAGCAATCGGTTTGAAGCATGCTTGGCACGAATAGCAGCCATGAGATATGGCTAGCGTGATGGGTAGTGCAACGTGGGTCAACACATGTTTGGCCATAGGCAACACCATCATCTGAAGGGGAAGGGTCCTATATGGCAGAGATCCACATAGGACCTCCTATGTGTCTTGACAGCCTCTGTTGGTTCCTGTCCGTCCAGCATGCTGTCTCGCTCCCTCCCAGCGAAGCTCTCCCCAAGCTATTTGCACGGTTTCCTTCGTCCAGCATGCTGTCTCGCTCCCTCCCAGCGAAGCTCTCCGCAAGCTATTTGCACGAATTCCTCTCCGTCCAGCATGCTGTCTCGCTCCCTCCCGGCGAAGCTCTCCCCAAGCTATTTCCACGGTTTCCTCTCCGTCCAGCATGCTGTCTCGCTCCCTCCCAGCGAGCCCAGAACTTCCATTCCTCCTTATTTAATTTAAGGAGTTTTTTTTTAAGGAATTCCACCTTAATTACGGAGGAATTCCCTTAATTAAGGAGGGTTTTTTCCTTAATTAAGGAATTCCACCTTAATTAAGGAGGAATTCTCCTTAATTAAGGCGTTTTTTTTTTGAAAATTCCTCCTTATTTTTTTTAAGGATGATTTTTTTCACTGTTTTTAGATACACCTTTGACATCATCATTGCATCAAGACCAACCTTTGGAGGTTGCTTCAAGGAGATGCAAGATCTCCTTTTGGTGTTTTGATTTCCTGCATCTAATGTTTGTGCATCGCATCTGCAGTTAATTTCTCAAGATGAGTAGAGCTAAGAACACTGCTTCTGTTCAAGACCTTTGCAAATGTTTGAAAGCAGAGGTGGCTTGTTTGGATCCCAAGGATTACTTGGATGTTGAAATTGATCAAGTTTGCAAGCATTATCGAAAATTTCTGGGCTTGATGTTCCAGAAAACAATTCGACCATCCAAAGACTGCTTGAAGGAAGCTGCCTTGAAAGTCAACCCTCACACTTTGAGTGACGAAGCGAAGAAGTGGTCTTCTGCAATTGTCGAATGTGTGCAACACATCAGAACAAAAGCAAAATGGTCAATTTCAAGTAAGAAATATGAGCCTTGGATGGGTGAGCTT